ACACCACCTATTTAATAAAAAAATCATCAATTTTGGTTAACATACATAAAAAACAATCAATCTATACGTATAGCACCTTCTTTTTTGAAGGCTGCTAAAAATACGAAATAATTCATGAAATTCAGAAATAATTTTTGTTACCACAGTCATGGCAATTGTTAGATAAACATGTCTTAAAAGGAATACATTTTTTCCGTAGATATATAAAATATTAAAACCTAAATCGAATATCCGGCTAAGTTACGCGTCTTGGACAGATGCGGGTGGCTGCGCTTATTTGATTTATGGTTCTCGACAACAGCGCCACCTACCAGGGCTAACTATAACTAAGAACCATGCAGGTGACCCCATAAAAATTTTTGTGCCATTAAAAGTTGTAACCAAAAGGTTGTTCATAGAAGTATGCTGGTTGACGAACAAGCACACAATCCACTTGGTCCTTAGTAGATGCTGTGGCCTATAAACACCTACAAATACCATAGATTATGAATCAAAAAGCACGATGTGTTGTCACCTCTGAGGACTAATATGAAACGCCTTGTTATCAACTCGTTACCACTAAAAACGGTATCCAATTCTCCACACACTCCATACGTAACACAGCAATGCATATATTCTAAGTGCATGGTCCTTCCCCGATTTAGCCAACCCATTCGTACGTACCACATTTTCTAAACTTATGGTATATACTACAATGTTTCTGAAATCTGAAGCATCGGCAATGTAGGTGATGGCAGCATGTTGTCCATGCTGCCATCTCCTACATTGCCGATGCTGGTCATTACTTTAAAAACCCTGGGTAACCGAGAAAAAGAATAGAAATAAGTTCTACGTTTGAACGAGATCGAGTTACTTTTTACTGATTTTAAACTGTCCTTTTTTGCCTAAATATTTTTCTTTCTTGCAGGTATCTGTTAAAGGTTGTCTTAACTTATTATTTGTCATTCAATTAATCGTGTTGTAACGCAGTTCTCCCCTCTCGTTTTTTAATTATATTACTTCCCCTTTTATATAAAATGATTACTATATATATGACCAGGATAATCAAATATGATATGATCTTTCCAAATGATCTTACTAAAGGGTGATAATAGGCCGTTTGTAATATTTAAGGCGTGATCGTCTTAGTTAGGACACTTAGGCTGGGTTCACACGGCATTGTCCTGCACGTTTTCTTTGTATTCGTTTTTTAACGTACAGTCACCCGGGTGTTCATACGGTAGATTTTCATTCGTGTAAAAAACGAATAGCAGCAGTATTCACATAGTTGTCACAGTGAGTAGACGTCTGTAATGGATCCACGCTGTACGAACAACACGTGTATGGATACACGCGGTTGTACTTTTATATTGGCATAATGTCAATTGAAAGTTTAGAAAACTTATCAAATCAACTGGGAAATTCAAGCCTACAAAAAACAAATACGAATATGAAGTGCATCAGTACTAAAATGAAATTAGCCATCTGTATAATTAATTATGTCTGTAATTAATTAAATAAGTTTTATTTGGCCAATATAATGTCTTCGTATTTCGTATTTACCTCTTGATATGTACGCGGTCGGATCCGACCACGGCGATATTCCGTCAAATTCCAAGCGGTCGAATCCGATCACACTCACCCACAGCACTTTAAACCATCAAAACTTATATTTAGAGACTACTTGTCAATAAAGAAGTTTGGCATTATAGGTTCAACGTGAAATTTCCTATCCTCTAATGCAATAAAACGTAGTTAGTCTATGGTTTTTTATTTATAGTCTACGTTCATTTCGTACGCCTATTTCGTAAGGCGTGTTACTGTGTAGTAATTAAAATATATTATTAGTAAGGAAGTGAAAACACTATAACTAGTAATAATATAACATACTAAATAAACGGAAGTAAGTATTATATTGAAATTTATAATGAATTTTGAAGACAAATAAATGTAGGAAAAATTCAAGTTTAGGTCATTTTAGCGCCGCCGCGTCACGCAAAACGAGCAAGCGGTGTTCATCATTTTAGCTGGGGACTGAGAGGTTAAAATTCGTTATAATCAATTTCTGTGTAGATAGAATAGCAGGAATCGACAGAGGCTGGACTTTGAAGAGAATCTATTATAGGGATGGAATTTGTAGTTTGTTGAAGAGAATCTATTATAGGGATAGAATTTGTAGTTTGTTGAAGAAAATCTATTGTAGAGATAGAATTAGTAGTTTTTGGTATACTATTATTTTGGTATTCCTGGGTAAAATATCCTTTGTGAATTGACGGGAGATTGAAAGACGATGACTCACGACGGCGACAGCTTTTAATATTTTTCAATAATTGTAGCACTCCCATTTAGAATTAGAGGACTTCATCATCGTCAAACTTATCTAATGATAGTATTATCTCATAAAAAATTAAAGAAGCCGATTTATAGTTTTGGGTTCATTATTTAAATAAGAATCCATAAATTTCATCATCTTCGCATCTAAAGGACTAACTGCATTCTTCATAGGTCTTTTATGTATACTTTTAGGTATTGGTCTCAGTGTCGCCATATTATCTTGTGACTGTATAGAGTTTGCTTCCGATGTTTCGTTTCTTACAGAATTATTTTCCTGTTTTTCGGATTCTGCGTTGTTATTTTCGGTAATAACATTGCTTATTGTCTCTTTAGGTTGTATTACTTTTTGCAGAAAGGATAATTGTTTACTATAAACATAAGGTTTTGCTGTTTTGGCGCCACTTCCTGACTTCTTCTGATCTTATATCTTTTTATATGATTGATTATAATTATTTCTTATATGAGTCCACCTCTGAATAATCAGTTTCGCTGTAAAAGAAAACATAGTAAGTTATAGTGAATATAGCAGGGCAAGCACAAAGTGCCAAAACGTTTGTGACTTAAAGTTTTGATAATATAAAGTAAAGACTCCTCAGATCCTTCCTCCAACCACCACCTGCACGAGGTCAACGCATATGCTGCACCAACCAATACAACGGTAAATATAGCCAAAAGTCAGTTATAAGATAATAGTAATAATTTGCCAACAGACAAGGTTTGTGTCACTGGCATTGAGTATATGCATTTTCGATCATGTTTGTCTCACCCACCAACAAGTTGCCTTCAATCATTCAAAGGTGGAAAAGTTACAAATATAAGTAATTATGTTGTTATTTAAAACATAATGGAGGTTAGAGAGTCTGCAGCCCCGTAATGAAGGGACCTGGTTTGGGCAAAGCTATTTAGGTGTGAGTCAAACCTTGACGCAGAGAGCACCATTGAGAATAACGACCCGCCAAACAACTATCGCAGAGACGCAATGCCGCAGAACGCAACAAACATCAATACAACTATTGTCGGGCTTACATCATCCTAAGGTCATCTAAGGTCCCATACAATCCCAGCAGACATCACCACCTGCATACCTCCATCGATCAGAACCACAAGATGCATCAAATCAGGTGCAGCACACCCGCAGATCCATTATAAGACGCAATACCTCAGGTAGCAGTAAGCATCAATGCAACTATCATACGGATGGCGCCCGCTCACAACACACCCACATGATCCTTATCGAATTTGGTAACAAAATTTGTATTGTAGTTAACTAAAAACAATACCTACTTATTATAGTAGCACGCTACTAAGACGCCAGTGGTCAAAACTCCACGTATCATAGCGCTAGTGCACTAAGACATGATGATGAGTATGCTTGTTATACTGAAAACTGCTACCAAACACACATTCAATCCTAAAGATAGCCGACGTACCACCGGTACTAAGATGATATGTCTAGAACACATCGTTTAGCGATTCCAACCTCGGTCTTGAACGCTTGTGATGCAGTCTACACGCCACTATAATAATCCTTTTCAAGTTCCATTTCTATTAATATAATGCTTTTAGGTATTTGAGACCTTCCACATATTAGATTTATTTCGTAGACCTTACCTATTATATGTCTTTAAGGTGATGTGGGCGCCAAAAGCAGATTTTTCACTCTTTAGAAGTGCAATTTTTTGTCATTAAAAACTACGAATTCACATTTTTTTAAATTCATTATGAAAGTTAAAGATTTTTCTTAGAGCACCCGTGTACAAATTTATAACGTCCGCTTTCGTCGTATAAACTTAACCATATATTAAAAAAATATTGATAACCGTGGTATGCCATTTAAAGGTAGTGAAAAATTAGGCCTGCCTTCCTTAGTCTTAGTATCTACTCAAACATTGAGCTAGCAGCAAGTAATAAACATGTAAATATAGGTACTAAGTATGTTTGTAAAACAAACTGATATGTAAAAATTTGTTATCGATATGAGTAAAGTGTCTATTTACCGACGGAATGTTAAATCATCACTTTTTTGATGATCTGAAGTGTTTACTGCAGTCTTTAAGAACACAAACAGGCATTTTGAAGTTGTTATTTATACGAGGCGAACACGACTCATCTGTGCAGGCGTTTGACACTCACTAAACAGTTGCGGTACGGTGTACCACAAAGCGTGGTGCGAAATCATGCAAGGCATTGTCTTCTCTATACGTAGTCTAGCACGTTAGTTACAAATTAAGCGGGTGTCCACAAGAACATACTTCAAACCGCCAAAGAAAATTAGTTAGTTCTTGCCATCCATCAAGTAGAGCAGAAGTGTCCAAGATTGATAGTGAATTTGTTCTCTCTTACCTACTTTACTCTCTAAACAACAATGTGGTAAACTCAGAGTTAATACCTGAATGCTACGAGGGTTAAAAGTTGTGTATATATAATAGTGTGATCTGGAAATAATTTAAAGGTATGCGTGGTTGCTTTTAAATCCACTGTGATTTAAAAGCAACCACACATTTGACGAACCAACCCGAAGAGTATCAACAGTAAGTGCCATGGGGATCACACTATATATAGTTATACCGATATCCTTGGAGTAAATAAGTTCAATGGTCATAAAATATTTCAAAAACTAACACGCACAGTTTTGCAGAAGCCATAAGGCGATTCGTGACAGGTAAACTTGCACGCAGTTAATAATACTAGGAGTTCTCGGTCACATCAACATTTTGCTAAATAAGTTTTTTTTTTAATTTATAGTAATATATTTACACCGTTTGAAATTATTTTTTATTACTTTTTGAACACTTTATCACTCGTTGTTGAAAACATGATGTACCATTAGTCAGAAGGGATGTTTTTCACGTGCTGATTAAAATCCATCACAGCATCTTCTAGCTCATTTGTGTTCTGAAGTGAGTTCATGAGAAATCCATCAGCAACACAATTTTCTACCTTTTGAACGAGTTTTTTTTTTTTTTTTTTTTGAAAATGGTTTATACCAATCCATTAATGTCCTCAAATCGCCTCATAGATCATGCGCCGGTTTTCGTCAATTAGTCGCCTGACATTTGTCACATTTTCCTAAGTGATCGCAGTTGAGGGTTGGCCTTCATGAATTACAATAAAGACATTAATTAATTCGCAACTATTCGCATAAAAATACAATGATGTGTCTTATCTGGATTGAAGAGAATCTTCATAAATTACATCATGGAGGAAAACACAGTCAACGCCTTACGGTGCTGAAATGAGGTGCTTCTCTCCGAAAATATCTGTGAGTCTTAAAAGTCAACGCCCTAAAATCATTTCCCGTAAATTCCAGATTCGCTATGGATGATAAATTTAAACTTGTGATATAAGCCAAAAATATTTTAATCGATATATGAGTTTCTTAAGTTTTAAAAATTAAACATTCGAAATTCAAACATTTATGAGCGGCTGGAGTGTAGAACTTTCAGTGTGCCATATAGGTATGTAGGTGGCATGAGAAAATTCATTGCCCTTTTTTACCTCGTGGCTATCACAACACATGATTCAGGGAAATGTCCGTAATATCTTCTGGCAACAGTTATGTGTGACAAATACGTCTACCAAACGCGACAATGACGAAAAGTCTTATAAATACATACATGTAAATATATTACCAAAGCGTTAAGAGACAATTTGATTTTGAGAATAGTAAAAGGAAGTAGACATGTGTTGATCGTGTGTGATTTGTTAATTTGAACCGAATTGGATCAAAGTATTGATAAATGATTATATGACAATTAACAAAGAGTATAGTAACGTCCAGCTACCGATATTACCAGGTGGGTCTCGCATATCACAAAATACTGAAAGTCGAAATGATCCATTTGTATGATCGGCCCGAATGTCCCGGTTCGAAAGAGGAATCAATACTATAGTGATCGGGTCACTAGGAATGAACGAATTGAGACATTTCAAAAAGGAAGGTAGTCTCAGAGTTTTAAGTATTGTATGTACGTAGAAGAAGCGAGAATTTGACTCAGTTCTATAGGATGGGAATAACGAATTATATTGTTTAGAAAGTGTTTGCAAGCTTTATTAAGAATTAAAGAAAAGATAATTGATAATATTAGTACAAATATTAGTTCGCTCAATAATTTTTTTTATAAAGGAGACGGGACCCGGTTGTTTTACTTTTAAAAGATATGGGTGATAAAAGAGCACACAGTCCACCTGATGGTAAGTGATAGATCTCTAGACCTATTAATAATCAAAATGCAGGTACATTGTCACCCTTTAGGACTAAGATGGAATGCCTCATTTTATTATTATTATTTATTTTATTCTTTATTGCGCCAAAGATTTTGTACAAAAGGCGAGCTTAATGCTATATGGCATTCTCTACCAGCTAACCTTGGGTAGAACAGAGAGTGAGTTATGGGCAGTAAAGATGTCATGATCTCATTCAATTCAAAATGTACATGCTACACATACATATAATATATATATATATACACATATATATTATATACACTTACACACATACATATGTATATACATATATATATATACATATATACATACACATATACATATATAAATATATATCTCCATAAATTTATATACAAATAACTATAAACATAAAGTAAGTGGACTCAAATTTGTTGGTTACGGATATATTCGTATAGTTTTCTTTTAAACACGTTTTTAGCAGGTATTATGCGCAGGTCAACAGGCAATTTGTTCCAGAGGGAGATGGAAGTTAATGTGAAAGAATTTGACATAAACCCAGAATGGTGGAGAGGAGTAGACAGTAATAAATTGTGTGAAGACCGGAGACTGAGAGAATGAGTGTCACTACGGAATTGGAATCTTTCTTTTAGGTAAAGGGGTGAGGAAGAATCATTAAGAACTGAAAACAGAGAGGACAGCATTCGAAAATCTCTGCGCTGGCGTATAGTCAACCACTTTAATTGGGAGCGAAATTCTGATACGTGATCGTATTTGCGCAGACCAAAGATGAATCGTATGCAGTTGTTAAGTAACCTGTCCAACCTTCTTAGCAGCTCCTGAGATATATTAGAAAGACAAACATCGGCATAGTCAAATAATGGAAGAATTAGAGATTGGATGAGTAGAAGCTTACTTGAAGGAGGCAGAAAGAACTTAAGACGATAGATGGAACGAAGTATGCCTGTGACTTTACGACAAATCTCGGACACCTGTAACCTCCAACTAAGGGTCGGGTCAATAATTAAACCCAGATCCTTGACACTAGCGCGGAAAGGAATTACACAGTTTTCATAGCAAATGGATGGTAGATCAGGTATGTTAAGTTGTGACACCAATCGACGACTACCAATGATAATAGCCTGGCATTTACTGGGATTTACCGTTATACCAAATCGCTGTGACCAGTCTGAAATGCGTTGTAAGTCCTGATTAATAGCTGCAATAGTGGTAGCAATTTCAAGCGAGGACGCTTGTGAGTATAACTGAAGATCGTCAGCGTATAGGTGGTAAGAACATTGAAGGTGGGTAGTTAGAAGATTGATAAACAACGAAAACAAGAGAGGAAAGAGAATGCCGCCTTGCGGTACACCTAGATATAGATCGCACCAGTCGAAAAAATCCTGACCAGCCCGAACAGCCTGCTGGCGACCGCGAAGATAAGAGGAAAACCAGTTCAGTATTGACGGGGAGAAGTTTAGGCGTGAAAGTAATCCAACGAGTAAGTCGTGATCGACACAATTAAATGCGTTTGAAAAGTCAATAAGGACCAGAACAGTCAAACATGACCTCTCCATGCCCTCTCTAAAATCTTCTGTAACTTGAAGTAAAGCTGTGGTGGTACTATGTCCCGGGCGGAAGCCAGATTGATATGTACTAAGGTAGTTGCATTTCGAAATGAAAGAGGTGACTTGTTTGTGTACCAATGATTCAAGGGCTTTGGAAAGAAACGGCAGTAATAGGTCTAAAATGGGAGGGTAGGGATGGATTGGGTACCTTCGCAAGAGGCAAGATAAAAGCTTTTAGCCATAACTTAGGGAAAATACCAGTAGAGAGGGAGAAATTGATGATGTGAGTGAGAACTGGAGTAACAATATCGAGTATGAGAAGTATCATATGTCTACTCACCTCATCATATCCGGTTGCGGAAGATTTTATTGAAAGTATGGCTTTTCTAGTATCATCGTCAGTCACTGAACTGAAGTCGAAAGAATTACATGATAACAAGGGCATGGAATTAAGTTCCTGGAGAGTCGTAGCTTTGGTGGTCAAATGCAGACGTGATGCAGAAGAGAAGTGTATATTCAAGTCATTGAGTGAAATATTTGGGATTAGAGAATTGGAATGTGATTTTCCAAATCCCAGGGATTTAAGGAACTTCCATATATCTGCAGAAGAGGAGTTTGAAATACTATTGTGGAAGTAGCGGCATTTGGCTGTTCTTACCACCTGATTACAACGGTTTCGTGCTCGCTTATATTGTTGAAATGTGGTACTGTTCCGATTCTTTTTAAAAATGTGAAAAGCTCGATCTCTTCTTCTCATTGCTCTACGCACTTCGTCAGTTATCCACGGGAGGTCGGCGTAACCTGACTGCTCGAACTGGTGCGTGCCTATCGAACAGGTTGAGAATTTGGGTGTTCAAATGAGCAATTTTGTCTTCCATATTATTTGCATCCAGCAATGGGCCCCATTCTATATTCTTAGCATCGCGGTGTAGTCGAATGGCGTCAATTTTATTGAAATTGCGTAAATACACAATCACTGGCTTTGGCTTGGGAGGCTTTAATTTATACGACATGACCAAAAGATCGTGTCGAGAAAACGCGGGAACAGCCAGTTGATCATGATATAAAACATGATCCGCTGAACTAGTGCAAATGATGTCTAACCATGAATCTTCGGTGTCCATGTTGTGGTGAGTTGGACTAGATGGTAGAATATAGAGATCCGCCGAGTCCATGATGGCTTTAAGTTTGCGACTCTGAGGAGAATCCTTTAGCAAGTTGGTATTGAAATCACCCATTATTATAATATGTTTGTTAACAGTGCTGATGGAGTCGATTACCGATTCAATATGGGAAAAATAATCAGTTGAAGGAGGGCAGTAAACAACTCCGAGCACGACCCTCAAACCCTTAATTTTTACTTCTAGAAATAGGTACTCAGCAGATCCTCTATATTCTGATGGTGATATTGCAATGACATCATATGCATATTCCGATCGCAAGTAAATGGCTACGCCACCTCCACCTTTGCCAGTGCGATCAGAACGTATAAGTACAAATCCAGGAAGACTGTACAACGTGGAGGATAGGGAGGGTTTTAGCCAGGACTCTGAGATAAGTAGAGCATGGATGTATGGTGAGGGAAATATGTCAAGTAGATCTGAGTAATGGGCAGGGATGCTTTGCGCATTTATTAAATAATGTTGTATAATATATATGTATACCTATATATGTAATAAATTTTATATATACTAAATACTATATTTATGAATATAAATATTAAAATAATGAAACTATTATGAAATATAAAAAGTTAATTAATCACTATTTGTTTTACCTGCCGGTCTGTCCTTAAAAATTATTAATCAAGTTTACATATAAAAAGAAGATTAGCACAAATGTTTTAAACAGTCCAATGAAATAGCAATGATGTCTTACTCATATTTCACTTGGTCAAATTAAAAGATAATTAATGTTGTGCTCATCTTCTATACAACAAAGGACAATAGAAAGACATATATTATAATGTTAATGACTAACTTAAGTGAGCGATAAACACAATTATAAGTAAGGCCGTGATCGTTTACTATTTTACATTTATACAAGACACAAGAGTATATTGTACATTTCATTTAAAATATATTAATAATTATGAAAAGATTAAACTGAGAATAAAACGCTACCATTGAATACAATCTAATGGTTAAGATACGAAAATTATATACAAATGAAATGAAGACATGGCTTAAAAACCAAGAATCCAGGCCAATGTCTTAATAAAAAATAATTGTATGAAATTGACGTTTGACTATAACATAGATAGTATCCTCAGAAACTATGTATCCTCTTAGTAGTCTGTGAACATAAATTGCTATGATAAATTGTTTACCTACCTAGTGTATTTCGTACCAAATATGTACTACAATAATATTTCATACGGTGAAAATAAAATTAGAGCTTACTGTCAGCACCAAAATCATAAAATGAAATCGAAAAAGTTATAAATACAGCAAGAATGATGCTGATCGTAAAGTGCAATGCCATTATGTACAGACTAGGAAACAATTACGATAAATCACAACTTCTTACTGATTGCACGCTTCGAAGTAGTTATTGACCTGGAATTTAGATCCTTCTTTTTTGGGAATGACATCTGAGGCTGGAAGCGAGGTAGTCTGTTCTACGTCAGCTTTGTGTTTGGTTGTCAGCTTCTCTAGATCATTTGTTGTAAACACTTTGTAACGGGATCCAGTAGGAAGCTTGACATTGATCACCCCGTCCAAGGTCCACACATTCCTAATGCCGAAGTGCCTGCGGGCCTCTAAGAACAAAGACTGCCTCATTCGTGTTAGATATTCTGACAACACATATGGGCTACCCTTGAGCAAAGCCTTCTGGCCCATACCTCTCGACGTAATGGAGCATCTTCAAATTTTATGAGAATCGGACGAGGGCGGCCATTAGATATTGTGCCAAGACGATGACATACCTGCAGCGACTGACTAGAACAATTTTTGATACCAAGATTCTTCGTGATGACTGAAGCTACCAATTCGCGAACATTGTCATTGGTATTCTCGACCACTCCTCCCAGCAGCAGAAACTTCTTTCTGTGTCTGCTTTCAATGGCATCCACATTAACAATTAGATGGTTAATTTGCTGCCGCAGTAATGTAAATGTTGAATAGACAAAATTCTTGAAGTTGATGTAGTCAGAACTTAGGTCCTTCAGGCTTAAGTCCTTTGATGACCCCTCTAGTCTCGCTTCAAACTCATCCAACCTCTGATTAAGTGTCTTCTCCAGTGATACTTGTGTTTTAAGAACTTCAAATATGTTTTCCATACTGAGATGTTCTTTAAGTATTGTACTCAACTTGAAGTTTGTAAGAAAAGTGGTAGCAGCCTATGGCAGGTATTTAATTTATTGCATATATGATATTTTAGTTGATACTTAACAAATATTGTACACATTGAATAACTAAAATAAATAAATAAACTTACAGAGATGCACAAAATTTAGTTGTTACTTTTTTCAAACCTACCCGAAAAAAAATCATCATCTCTAGTAGGTAACAAGAGTTCCCGGTTTTCTACACCCACCAAACGAAGCACAGCGGTATTTAATTATCATTTTACGCTGGTATTCTATGATTCTCCAGTCTAGCCGACCTATTCGTGTGACATCCGTAATATAGCTGTAGTATGGCTCTGCCTCCTATAATAATCTTATCTTAACTTTTGTTATGTTTCGTTTATCTTTTATTATGTCTCTGCTTGATTTGTATTATTATTACATATATATACATCAATAATTATAGATTTATTATTATTGATGATTCCCGCAATAGTCGAATAACAGTAGTAACAGGTCGAATGATGATTGAAAATTATAGCAACAGGTTCCCCAATATAAGCGCGACGAATGTTCCACTGTGTACAGTTGTAATAGAGTAGAATAAAGTAATTTTTATTCAACGAGATTACAAATATTTATTGAAAGTCATTTATGCCTTTACCACTGGCTGCCAAAAAGCCTCTGCCCAGAGAAGAATCGGCAAGGAACTCAGTGAAACTTTATTTTTTAAATAACAGTGAAGCAAGCTTCATTAGTTTACAGATAACATTCTTCATTAATTTAAAGATTACACAGCACATTGTTTACGTTGAAATTGGGACAACACACAAGAGCAAACATAAATATTTTGTATCATTTTACAAATAAAGCAAACTGAGGTCTTATCTCTCCTTTTTTTATACTGCCATAACAGTACAAAAACAATGACATGCCATCAATAGCTATTTAATATTATCAAAGAATTATTGTAATCAGAACCATGCAAGAACAGCGATTGAATTTAAATTCTCTATAACAATGAACGCTAAGTTGCAAAAAATCTTTATTTACTTCATTGCTAAAAATAAGGAGATGAGGATAGATACCATCTATCTTTTTAGCTTTTTATTTATTTCTTGACAAGAACACGTGTATGTTTTAGAAAGATTTAATACTTTTGTCGCGACACGTTAAAATCACTAAGAATAACTAAAACTAATACTTCACCTATCATAAAAGAATCCACCTACCAATTTTATAAGTACAATTGTGTCTGAAGAGCCATGTAAGAGAAATATAAGTAGGTAAAACTTTAAAACCTTAGATAGCTTAGTATGTGTAGCAATCATCTCGTATACTTATAAACATGACAGATATTACATACAGGACTGTAAAAAACGACAAATACAAATCTTAAATTTAAATGGCACAAGGCCTCTTACGTATACGCTTGGCATTTACTATTTACTATTTTGATTTGTTACCAGGAAGATACTGCTGCCCATTTCCTGATTCCTTCGGTCAATACGAGATAGTGGATGGTACAGGTTCTTCAAGATCAACTACCCTAAAGTTCTTTTACATATAATAGGCGAAAATTAATAGAATCAAACATTATATTGCGGAAATTATTCTGCGAGAGCGTGGACCTTCCCCAATCGTGTTGACTTATTCGAGCTGCAACCATAATTTGCATAATTACCATAATTTGATTCCATATTGTGATTCCATAAAAAATCTTGGCCTGTACATGGATAAAACTATGACCCGGAAATTGCAGATCTCTGAAGTTATTTGTAAAGTTGTTGCTACCTTTCGTTCCCTTTATCATCTTAAAAATTTCCTACCTTTCAAAACCAAACTTACGCTGGTTCATTCCCTCATTCTACCTATTATCGACTATGCCGATGTATGTTAACCAGATCTATCAGAAAATCTTCTAAACAAGTTGGAGCGCCTTCTTAATAATTCCATAAGGTTTATTTTTCGTTTACGTAAGTTTGACCACATATCATCCTATCGTTCAAAGCTTAAATGGCTACCTATACGTCAAAGGCCGATGCTTTAGAATTTTACTTATACTTTATTCAATTTTAAACGATCCAAGGTCGCCTTTTTTATCTTAAGGATAATTTTAATTTTTTTTCATTCCATCGACGGTCGAACATCCAGACAAAAACCGTCTGAGGTTAAGGTTTCCACAGCATAAGTCAAATTTTTTTAGGTCGTCTTTTACGATACAAGCTATACAACTTTGGAACACCCTCCCCAACGATATTAAGAATGCCACAAATAAAAAAGTTTTCAAAGTTCTTCTCCGAGAACATTACCTGAAGGCAACTACTAATTGACATTATTTTTCCTTAATTCTTGTCTTTCTTTTCTTCTTTTTTTACTTTAAATATTTATTTCATTATATATTATTAAAATATTATATTATATTATATAGATATAGTATATATCATTCATTTGGATATTCATTTGCGAAGTTTATAAGCATGTATATATATTATATATATATGTATATATGTATGTATGTATTATTGTACGTATATTTATACTATATGTGTGTATATTTAAATGTATTGTGTATGTATGTACTTTGTATATATGTATATTTTAATGTATATGCACTTATTTATGTATAATGGTCGCACCTGCCAACAATTGTCCTTGGCACCCAGGGTTGACTGGCAGAGAATGCCACGTGGCCATTAAGTCCGCCCTATGTACCCTTTAGCTTAAGTTGTTACATGTAAGTTTTTAAATAAATAAATAAATTAGCTGCAGCGTGTCTCTATAGCGTTAAGAAAAACAATACCAATGGTTGGGCTGGGCACAGGTCTCCTCTCATTTCTCAGTGATTTGGAGGAGAGATTAATTCACCGCGCTACTTCAATGCCTTTTTTTAATAAAATAAGGGTGACAAACGAGCACACAGTCCACCGGTTGGTAAGTTTATGATGTGGCCTATAGATATCTAATATATACTCGATTAAAAATCAAAATGCAGATGCGTTGGCACTCCTGAGGACTATGATGGAATGCCTCGTCTCTGGTTCTCTACACTCTCCATACAAAACACAGCAAAATCTAAATAATTAACAATTCCATTGCTTCTTGTATTCATACATCATAATCTTGCATTACCACGGCTTTATTTCAACGTATTCAAAATATATGTGTTTTATTTAATTATACAAAATTTTATTCACTTGAAGCTTTTAAGAAAATTTATTTTGAGTGAACGATATTATTTATTAATACGAGTATACAAATTTATGGATATTATACTACACATACGCCGAATAATAAACTCTAATAATTTTATTTCGGAATAAATATATTTTCTTGTTGTACGCAATAAGTTGCCATAAAAAATCATATCATAATATTATGGAGAATTATTTATTTTAAACAATAAAACTTGTTTTCCGCTCACCACTTGTTTGTATTCAATTGAAATTTAGGTTACAGAAATTTGTATTAATTCATAAATTACGCAAAATAACTATTTTGACGATAGATTTAAACTAAGACACTAGATTTTAAATAATTTATTTCTTTAAATTAAGGCCATTTAATGGACTTAATTCTTTAAATTTGTGTCTACGTGTGATTGCGTAATAACGAACTGATTAGGTTTTTATTGTTTTTATAGTATATTTCACCCTTAATTCTACGACCCCTCAATAAGCACAATTACAAAAATTTCAATAATTACTGACTTCGAGGCATTTTAGTCATCAGAAGTGACAATTTAGTATCTGTAGTATTGTATCCGAAGCTTTCTTAGTTTGAAGTTGGCTATAGGTGTCATTGGAATGTAAAACATCAGGTGAATTGTAAATTCGTTTGTATCCTTAGTTTAATAAAAATAGTCCACATTATGGTAAACGGATTCTGTAGCCCATACACACTATCAGGATAGACATATTTATGTTATTCTGATAGTGTATATAGGAGTGCTTAAATTCTATACAGAGAATTTTTGATGTATGTTTGAACCTTTATCATTTACCGTGTAATGTGAGCAAATGGAGATAATTACTCCAACTGGTTTATTTCAACGAGTGATTTTGTAATGAAAAGTAATTACAGGTTTGTATTAAATTGATAAATTATATATAATTTAAAAGAAATATTAAAACACTAAATTACAGATAGAACATAAATAGATGGTATTATTATTAGTATATCAATTTTATTTAATTACAGTATATTGATAGTGGAGCCACGCTGCAGCTATATTATGGTTGTAGCACGAATGGATCGGCTCGAAGAGGGAAGGACCACGCTGTTTATTGCTGCTGTGTTTTGTATTTTGAGTGTAAAGAACCGGAGACCTCTTTTACTGGAAACTAGGCAGTAAATCTCAGGGTGGCAATACATCTGCATTTTGATTCTTAATCGAAAATAAATGTGTATTGTGAGTAATTTCCTCGGCAGTCTTTAAAGGAATACCAAATTGGAAGCTCAGTTTTGGCAAGCTAGTTTCACCAAGCTTCTATTTCAATACATTAGTTTTTTTTCGGTTTATCCCTGAAAATCTAAAATATCGTAAAGTTGTTTATGTCTGTGGCCGTGGAAGGAAAAGGGGAGATCTCCCGCCGGGCAAGGTGTTCTGCCCGGGGAGCGGCTCACACGTTCGGAGAAGTTCTATATATACTGTTTATGATTCGGAATGTTGATAGCGTGATTTAGGCTTCGGTGTATTTCGCTTGTGGCGCAACGACAGCGCCGCTACATCACCCCCCTGCTCAGGCCGGAGGTCGATAGTGCAGCTTCGTTGTCGACGAATGTGCAAGTGCCAGGAGATTGCCTTGTAGTCTGCGGTGAGTCGAGAAGAAGACAAGTAAATCTGCGAGATTGCCGTGAAGCAGAGGCGAGCACTAAGGCTCAGAGCCGTGCCGAACACTGTGGCGCAGAGAGTAGCTTGAAGGAACAGGAAGCATTATTATTCCAGTGCTGCGATGAACCTTGTGAAGCTAGATGGCTTGCAGGATATG